AGAGGCTGAGATATCCCAGATGGGCTGTGGGGGGTGACTGACCCTCAGGGATCACGACTTGATGGCTTTACTGGGAGGCAGGGCCTAAAGAAGTCACTTGGGGACGCATCTTGTCCTCAGCTCCTTTCTCCTGGGGGGTCTATGTCTGTCTGTCTCTCTCTCTTTCTCTCTCTCTCTCTTTCTCTCTTACGTTTCTGCCACTCCACAAGCCTAAAGCAAAGGAGTAGGCCAGCCCAAAACCTCTGACACTGAGCAGAAGTAAATGTTGCCTCCTGTAAACTGTTTTCCTTGGAATTCTGTCACAACAAGGAAAAGCTAACACAATCTCTGTGTCCCCCTCTCACACAGCATGGAAGGGGCGATATGCTGCCCACATCCTAGGCTGTCCCGAACCCCAGCTCACCAACTGCCAGCCTCCCCTCTGCTCCCTGGATGGTCATGGAACAGGTCCTCTCTGGCTTGAGCCTGAACCCTGTGAAGGTTCTGGGCCTCCTGCTGCTGGCTGCCTGGCCGGCCACCTGCATGTGCCTGCTAAGGGCAAGGTGTCGTCCACAGCCACTTGGCTCTGTAGTCACCTCCACTGCCCAGGCAGGGCTCTGGTGCAGTTCTGTCTCCAGCAACTCATAATCAGTATCCATGTTAACCGCAACTCACAAAATTCATTCTCTCCCCTTAAAAACTATAGTATTCCTGAAACATCAACTGTGGCAGGGCACAGTTTAAATGCGTAAGAACATTCCTCTATGAGTTAATTTCTATGTTAACACATAACAACCTTGGTGGACAAACACCACAGATTCGAGATGAAATAAATGAAGAATAGAGCAGGAGGACTGAAGAAACCCAAGGCCTCCAGCTCAGTCCCACCCAAGGGCAGGTGACGCATGGGATAAACCTTGATAATGGTCGGCAGAAATCAGACGACCCTGGACCCACGATCACCCGCTTACTGCTTCAGCTGCTTTCATGGGACTGGGGTATTTCACACAAACAGAATATTAAGACACCATAGCATGGCCTAAATCAAAGCACTGATCTTGAACTATTCAAGCTTTTCTCAAAATGGTGACTTTGTTTTTAAACACTGCCCAGCTCTCCCGCCAAGAGCCAGGGAAATAGGATGACTGAATTTTCAACTTGGTGCTGGCCCTGCTCAACCTGTTTCCATCTATCAAGGGCATCATCTGGGTGGCCACGGATGTGTCCTAGCAATCCACTGTGGGCTCCGTGAGATCAGAGCGCTTTTCAACGAGACTATCCAGGCAAGCACGCTCTGGCAAGAAAGACGAGCTCGCCAGAGGAAAAGGGGCAGGTCAAACAGGCAGCTGGGCGCAACATCTGGTCCTCCTGTTAGCCAGTAAAGGTACCAACATCCTAGGCACACTTTAAGCCCAATGAAGGATGAGGATCATCAGTTACTGGAGGGAGACGAAGGGACAAGAAACAAGGAGCAGCTGCTTGTGCTGCTACGGTAGCAGGCGACGTGGGCATCCACTCCCTCTCCCTCGGGTCATCCAGAGGCTCTGTGCCCTGGGAACTCATCCTGGCCTGTCTCCGCACACCCCAACAGGGAGAGGTCTGCAGTGCAGGGTTAGGCCAGAGCACACTGCAGAACCTGCTTCTACAGAAGAGTTCTCACAAGCTCAATCAACCCAGGCCCTTTCCTCAGGCTCCTCACAGCATTAGAAACAGTTATTTAGAGCAATAAATCCCAACAGTTAAGCAGCTTTTACGTCAGAGCCAGGGCCTGGCTCTGGCGAAGTTCAGAAAGAACAGCAATAAAATCATAACGTATACCCCACCCAGCAGCAGAGGGAGTTTAAAGGAAAACAGGCCCTCAAGAGTTACACACATCAAACAAAACACCACTTCATTGCCAGAGCAGAGCCAAGCTGCACCATCAGTGTGAGCAAGGGAACCCCGTGGGGGCTGGGCTCCACTGGGGCCGACTTCCCACCAGCACTGCACCAGGCTGCACGGGAGCAGGGCAAGGAGGCAGGACCTGCGCCAGGTGGGTGGGCAGACGGGCAAAGGCAAGCCAGGCGGGCCAGGGCAAGGGCTGGGAGCCAGCCAGGAGAGGAGGCCCTGGAGATCCCAGGAAGAGGACAGGCACTGCGGGGAGCAACAACCAAACATGCCTAGCATACAAGAGGCTCTGGGTCCAATCCTCAGCAACAAAAGAGAGAGAGAGAGAGAGAGAGAGAGAGAGAGAGAGCAAATTGAGTAACTGGGTATTAATTATTACTATTCTTCCTCCCTAAAAATCATTAAAATGACAAAATATGAATAAAATTGTGACAAGATTTACAGCAACACTTGATAGTGGGTGAACAAGTACATGAGCTCATGAAAAATTTGGAGAACTTCCTGGAAACCATGAACCCAGTGGGGTCACAGGAACAGGCAGAGTCACTAGTGAGGCCCCACCGCAGCAGGGTGAAGGAGGCCCCAGGTTGGGCCAAGCCAACTCCCCCACCAAGCGCCAGGAAGGAGCTGCAGGGCAGCAGTGCCAAGTAGTGGGGCGTGCCGTCTGGCCCGGGCAGACACCTGTAGGAGAGCTGAGGGCTGGAGGAGAGGCAGGGACACCCAGCAAGCTCTGGGCCCTAAGCAAACAACTCTAGCAACAGACAGAAGGGAGGGGCTCTGGCCAAGAAGTCTGAAGCTCCGGGTCAGAAGGTGCGGGTGGGCAGGAGGCAGGACGCACACAGGGCCTGAGAGGAGGGCAGGGCCACCCAGGTGGGCCAGGGATGGGAATAAACATCAGCGGATGAGATTCCCCATAAAAAGCCAAAGACTCTCTATGTTTACACAGAAGAGCCTTAAGGAAGGTGGTCCGGAAAGGTCAGAGGTAAGTGGATGGGGAAATATCTGTTAACCAAAAAAGATCAAGGCAGGAATATTATTATGAAACAAAATAAACTTTTGGCAAACAGATATCAAATCAAGACAAAGACAGTGTACCCTGAAAAGAGACCTGGTCTACCATAAGAATAGTCAGTAATTTTTTTTTTTTGGTACCAGGAATCGAACTCAGGTCCTTGAGCTTGCACAGCAGGCGGTGAAACCACTGAGCTAAATCCCCGGCCCAGTCAGTAATTTTTAAGACTGAAAAAAACACTGAAATACATAGAGCAAAAAAAAATAAAAATAAAAATAAAATGGTAATGTGCACAGGACATTATAAAAGTATAATCACAACAGAAAAATTCACTTTTCCCAGAATTAAGCAGACAAAAAAGAGTAAAGCTTTGTTGATTTAAGTCAACTGAGTTAATACACATCAATACATAAAGGTTACAGATATTCCTATATATAAATATATAATGTATCAGTGAGAAAAAATTTAAATACAGTATTGATAAATACATATGGATTTCTTCAAACCAAAAAACAATAATAAGAGCATACTTTTCTTCAAACATCTGGGTGTCATGCACGAGATCTGAGTTTGGTCTATACTCGGTCATGCAGTACACAGCCTCCATTCTCCCCAATAAGGTGAACACAATGGTTTCCCCAGCATACTAAGGAAAATAAACTGGATACACTCTATCCAGTGCTGGTGTGATCAGGAAGGTCAGCTGAGCCAGCCCTGGGAGCAATTCCACAGGACACCTGAGGACCCCAGGCACACACTGCCAGCTGACCACGCTTCTGCTTCTCAGCATTCATCCAGCGGAGACACTTGAAGAAATGCACAAAATATATGTATAATAACTGTCTGAGGCTAATTCAGAGCTGTTTGAATAGTCCTGCAACCACATAAACACCCATTTACAAGCTACCAGAAAGAATGTTGGATTTATGGTAACTATTGACATCAAAGATGCCCGTCCCACATTACAAAAGAAAAGAGCAGGAAACAATGCATACTGCTAAAGTGTGAACGCGCACAGTGCTTGTCGTCCACACGAGAGGAACACCCTGGACGGCACCCCCTGGAGCCAGGCAGAGCTGCACACCATCACGTCTACTGGACACTTGAATGCACACAGCTTAATGTTTCCTGCAACGATCACAAACCATTCTTTACATCAATCAAGACATGAACAATCTGAATCAATAAAGTCTTCGTGGCTAAATAAAGCCTGGAACCCTGCCCTCTGGAGCTCTCAGATAGACCAAGCACACCCTTCTCTGAGGGTGTGAGACACTCTGGGCACCTGGAAGGAGAGGCCCAGGCGCTAAGGCACCCCGCAGGCAGACCCAGAGCTAAGGCTGCCGAGGCCCACCCAGTCGCACTCCTCTGTGCACATGGGACAGGCACCGAGCTCTGGGCGCCCCATGCAGGGTACGCTGAAGGGGCTGGAGGTTGGGCAGCCGTGCCAGTGGTCCCACAGGAGGCCCACACCTTGAGGTGCGACAGGCAGGGCCCTCCAAGTTCATGCAAGCTGTGACTCTCCAGGGTCAGGAGGCATGAAGTCCCCACACACTGGAAAGCGAGGGCCAGACACAGGTGGCTTCCAGTCCCCTCCACCATTCCCAGTAATACGACCCTGGACAAGGCTCTTCCTCCCTGCAGCTCTGACACCGTCTAGGGCTCCTGGGAAATCTAAACCCTTGTCAAGTACTTAGTGCAGCACCCAGTAAAACAGAGAAGACCCCTGAGAGTGATTTCCAGCCACTGCCCAAGGATGCAGATCCTGGCCTCCTCCCAGCCTCTGCCAGGGCCCATCACAGGGCAACCCTGCCCCAACAACAAACAGGCAGATAAGAAAGTAACTGCCCAAACCGCAAGCTGACCTTCCAACATCACCTCACACAAGAGCAACTCTGTCCTCCTGGCATCAAGGAAACTGCCACAAGCATGCAGATCAAACCTGGGTCCTCACCAGGCCTTCACCAGCTCCCCTTTCCCTGCAGAACAGACAAGCTACCTGCACTTAGTGCTGTCAGAAACCAACAGTGGCCATTATCAGGAGACACAAAGGTCTGGAATCCAGTCAGCAGGCTGCAAGGACAGCCCACTATCTGCAGAGAGCAAAGGACTCAGGCCTTACCTGGATGGCTTTGAGAGCTCATTGCTAGCAGTGTCTAAGCCTTCAGTCAATTCAAAATGGCTCAAAAGTTCCACGTAAACAGTAGCTCCAACAAGCTGCAAACTTCCACCAGCACATACAAGTAACAAAACGAGGAGGGTCGGGTCAGGGGCGCATAAGCTCCGAGTCTCACTGCTGGTGTCTCGCACAGCAAGTAATCCACAGGGACAGCAGAGGTCTTCGCCTGGCCTTGCAGCAGTGAACCTGCAGTTAGAAAAAGAAGAGAGCTTCAGTGAGGATGGAGCGTCCCCTGCAGAGCAACCTCTAACCAAGGAACCAAAGATTCAGTCTTCAGCTCATTTTTACCAGGAATTGGTAAAACAATTCATACTGAACCATTGCTACCATCCCTGGTTGGGATTTCTGTTGGCAAATCACAAATATGAGCAAATGTCAACCCTAGCACTGAGGATGTGGAATGGGTGTTTGGTACCTGGGGTGGGGCTGTCTTGTGCACCCTAAAATACCTAGCAGCATCTGTGGCCTCCACCCACCCGATGCCAGCAGCATTACCACCACTCCCGGTCATGACAATAAAAATGTCTCCAGAGGGCCAGTGTCACCTAATAACCAACATCACCACGGGTGAAACTCTCTGACCCAGAGCACCACCCTTACACCTTCCAAAAGCTTCCTCACCATCAGGCTGGTGGAAGGAAGAAGCACTCTATCCTCCAACTGGTATGAATGTATTCCAAGCTACTCATTTTGCAAAGTAAGTACAGAGGAAAACCCTAAAAGAAAAGTCAGTCATTCAGCCTGCTCCCATCACACACATTTTCATTCTGACATGCACACATCCAGCCTGTCCCCACAGACATTCACCTTCATGCAGGTGGCTCACGGAACTGGATTCTGATTCAGTTGTCTCCACTGAACAGTACATCTTAAATTATTCCCATGTTCCTGCCTTAGTAACTACCTCTGCTCAGGATTTATTTTTCATTTTCTGATGATAAAAGAAACGCGTGGCCCTCCCTCCCAGGAGAATATTTAAAAGGCAACCCAGTGGTGGGCAGCTGGGAACATCCTCACAGCTCCTGCAGCCATCTCGGCCTCTGGCCTCAGGAACTGCCGGCCACACAGGCCTGGCTCTCTGGCCAGCCTGTCCTCACAGCACTGTCAGAGCCAGGAGGAGCCCTGGCAAAAAGCAACCCACGGATTCCAGACTGGTCCGCAGAAGCTGACTCTTCCCAAGAACATAGTCGCCACAGCGAGCAGCCCAAGAGACAAATCGAGGAACGCCTGCTGAGACTCTGGGACTGACCCGATCCAGCAGCCCTTCTGAGGCTTCTGTGTTCATGTCTCCCTTTAAGACTGTAACAAATTCCTTTTCTTGATTACATTAGTCCACAACCACCCCCCACCAAGTGCTTGTAACTAAAGAACCCTAACCAAGTCATGTCAAAGATTAGCCCAGGGTTGGTTACTGAGGTAGTTCCAATCTTACATGATTATCTCCAACTGTGGCTCGTATCTTCATGACTACTGTTCCAGTTATTTCCTTCAGGTTCGGGATTGTTACTTCTCTATTGGTCTGAAAGAAAGACCATTTCCTTGAACAGAATGTAGATGGCATGATTCCACAAACCCCTGAGAATCTCAGAAAGGATTCTGCATCCTTCACACAAAAACCACATCTTGGCTGAGTATAAAAGTCTTGGATCGTAAACATTCCTCCCTCAAAGCCTTCAGAGACTGTTCCACACTCAGTGCTATGGAGAATTCTGCTTAACCACTGTTCCTGTCTAAACTTTGAGGGACTTGGTTTTGGTGTTGTCATTTTCTTCAGCCTGGATTCCTTTAGTATATCTTTTCTCTAACCTGGAAATTCAAATATTGTCAGAAGATGGATGGGTTGAAGTGTACTCATTTTCTTTGCTCAAAACATGACCCTTTCAATACACATTGGTCTTCTTCCTGCTCAGGAAAATGCTCTTCCATTACATCTTTGGTCATTATTCTTATTAAACTTGTTCTGGCTTCTTGAGAGATTCCTATGCTGTTGGCTGGAAATTCTCCATGGAATCTGGCCTCTCTCACCGCTGACACATCTGTTGTTTATTCTGCATTCCCGGGCAGCTTCTCCAGTCTGTTCCCTACACAACTATTGATATTTTCTACAATGTCAGCTTTATTCTTTATGGCTTCTGATACAGAGTTTAATTAAGCCTTAAACTTTGTTCTCACCACTTCCCTTGACGATTCATTCTATTATCTCTTCTACGTGGACTATCCCTCCTCTTCATGACCTCCTGCTCCTGTTCTTAGAGCCATGTCTTCTCCTAGCCAGTCTTCTGAGAAAAAAAAATTTTTTTCCTGATTTAAACTATAAATAATTTTCAGAGGTATATTCTTGGGCACTGCAGGATATTCCCCTGTTCTCCACTTCCTGGGACAGCTTTCTGACAGGTCCCAGGTCGAGGACTGTTTGCTTACACATCCTCAAAGAACAGCTCTGCTAGACTCAATGGAAGACCAGGGTCTGCGTGCATTGCCCTCCCCAGCCTAGCTCCTTCACACTGATGAGCTGCTGCCGAGGGAGCCAGTGTGCAAGGCTCCTGCGGGTGCCCAGTGTCCAGCAGGCTTCCTGGAGTGCTGTCAGACTGACATGGACCCTTCTCTTTTGCCGTCTGCAGATTCAACAGAACCAAGACTTTCTGCTATGACACAATGTATATGTTCTGGAAGAACCTCACACTCAGAAAAACTGTATTAAAAATACCATTGCCTATGAGACAAATAAGGTTGGAGGGGACTGCTCAAATTATGCAATTTCATAACCAGTGCACTACCGAAATCAGGAATTACTAATAAAAATACTACCACAATTCAAAAAAGATATGCTATTATTCCTAATCATTAGAAAGTCCAGTAAATTAGAATTATACCATTTAGAAAGGTGGCAATAGTTTAGTCGAAGAGGATAAAAGAACTGAAGCTTCTAAGTAACAAAATCAGAGACAACTAAACCAACCATATGTATGACCACGTCAGATTGTCTAGACACCCAGCGAAAGGGCAGAGGTTGTCAGATGGGGTAAAAGAGACCCCACTCTGCCAGATATAAATAGGAAGTGTGTGAGGCAGGACTGAAAATGGTCTGGAGAGGGTGCTGTGCATTTGAGAATGTACAATCCATTTCCCAAGCATTGCAGACCCAGCCATGTGCCACCTACAGGAAACTCATTTCAGCATAGGCATGTCCGACACAACAGCATACTCAAAAGTGGTCCCAAAGATCTGTCACCTAAGGACACTCTAGCCATCACAGTGTAAGTACTCTGTGATGCTCACACGATGAGAAAGTCATCCAACAACATGCAGCTCTGCCTGGCTCCCGTTAAGTGAAAGCTGACTATAGAAGCAAAGATGATGGATATACATCACACAAACACTGATCAAAAGAAAGGTGTAAAGGATGTGTTAGCATCAGACAAAGTAAATTTAGAGGAAGAGCATCACATGGAATGCAGAAGGGGTTGGCCCAGGGTGACATACCAATCCCAAACACTTGTGCACCGACAGCAGGGCTTCATGCTTGAAGCAGAAATTGAGAAAGCGTAAGGAGAAATGGACACATCTACAATTACTGTTGATTACAGCTGGAAATTTCAACACCCTGCTCTTAGTAACTGTCAGAACAAGTAGACAGAGAATTAGTAAGAGATTTGAACACCACCACCACCCTGCATGACAGAATGGCACTTGGACAACGCTCTGAGAACAACAGCAGAATGCAAACTCCTTCCTTTACTTTTTAACCCACACAGAGCAGACACCAAGACAGACCACGAAGCAAAAGGACTCAAGTCAATATTTTCTGACTAAATTAGAATTAAGTTAGACATCAATAACAAAGATATCTAAAAAAAATCCCAAACATTTGCAAACTAAATAATACACTTCATGAGTCAAGGAAAAAAATTTCAAACAGAAATTGGAAGGTATTTTGAAACGAATAAAAAATGAAAATACAACATGTCAAAATGTGCAGTGCTTAGAAGGAAATTTTCAGCACCGAATGCCCGAATTAGAAAAGATGGGCAAGTCAATGATCTTAGGGTTCATTTTCAGATATTAGGAAAACAATTAAATCCAAAATAAGTCAGGAACAAAGGCAAAACAAAAAAGAAATCAATGAAATAGGAAAGAAAAAAATCAGCAAATCTAAAAGATAATTCTTTGAGACAAATAATTCCTAAAAAACAATGAGAAGATATGTATGAATGATACCAAGGAGGTAGGGGATCAACTGGAGCCATACCAGGATTAAAAGGATAAAAGGGAATATCATGAACAACTTCATGCCAAGAAATGTGACAACTCAGAGACTCAACAAGGCCTTAGAAAACCCAAACTTCAAGCAGTCACTCGAGAACAGAGTTGGGCACAGACAGGGCCCATCTGCAGGGTTCCAGGTCCACCCCGGGCCATCTACAGCACTTGCCACCATGAGGGTCTGCCTGGTGGTGACAGGCAACTTCCTCCTTCCTTTTAAAGTAAATTAAAGAATTAAAGATGAACCTTCCGTGCCCCATGCTACTGTTTAATCAATGACTTAATTTGTGTGGACTTCTGGGTTTTGTTTTAATCTGTTCTGTACTGATAATCTAGTGTATCATTACTTCTTCTATTGCTGAAGTTTGGGCCACTGGCAGCTCCTTCAGGTGGGTCCTATTCTTCCTGACAAGCTTCCACCCCAATCTTTACTGTTTGGTATTCGCTTATCTCTGGGTTTACAGTGACATCCCAGATTCCAAGCCAACACCACAAGGTTTACATCACCCTCCCCTTTCCTCATCGGCAACTTCTTCACTCAGGACACATACTGGCCTGTTCAGCCCTAGCATATACACCAAGTAGCTCTAGAGCCCTCAGTGCTTCACCAACAGCCCTGTCCGCTTTCAGCCCTACAGAGCCCACTTGTGACACCGTGTTCAGAGGTGCCTGGGTGACCTATCTGCTCCACATCCACTTCAGGGGGGTGGCAGAGCTGGATCCACGCTTGGTACTTGTATTCCATTTTGGGTTTCCCCCACACCCTGGTTGGTTTTAACTGTTTGTTTATTTTTGGGGTATGTGAAGAGTTAGAAATACAAATTTAAGTGGAAAAAGAATGTTTATAGAGATATTTGTAATTTAAATTTAAGACTTTACATACAGCATTTTGATATAAATTTCTCTCGCTTAAAAAAAAAAAAGGTTTGCATTATGGAAATCTGACGAATAAGCAAAACACAGCAAGTGGTATAAGGAGTCTAGGGCACCAGCTTCCACAACTACTCACATCCTACCGTCCCTGCTGCATTGGCATCTCCTTTTACACACACAGAAAGGCACAGAATGTCACCGCACAACTTTGAAAACAGTTTCATCCATGTTAGCTTCTTACCATGAGGTTTTCTCTTACATTTATTTATTTATTTATTTACTTATTTATTTACTTATTTATTTATTGGTATTGAGGATCGAACTCGGGACCTCGCTCTTGCGAGGCAGGTGTGGTGCCACTGAGTACATCCCCGGCCCTTTTTCTTACTTTTAAATGCATGGCCAAGTTAATGAGAAATACCTTTGGTATAACTTACTCAGAACCCAGTTCCATTACAAGTGAGAGGGCTTTCTGGAATCGTGTGTCCTCCATGCAGAGAAGCAGAGCGCACTGAAGGCTTCTGAGCACAGAATCCAGGGAGGGCCCGGGGCAGGCTGAGAAGGCAGCTCCTCCTCAGCAGGGACCCTCTCCCCAGCTGGAGGCCAGGAGCTCAGCTGTCAGCCTGGCTGTGCTGCAGCCCAAGGCCTCCTGAGGAAACCTGCTAAGGGTGGGCAGCAGCAGAGCACAGGGGACACTGTGGAGCTGGGAGGCAGGGAAACAGTGGCTCCAAACCTGTCCCAGGCCCCTGTCTCCTTAGGGGTGAGGGCACGAACGTCTGAGCCAGCGGGAGGTAGCACCGTGCTGCAGCGCAGGCCTGCGACCACACAGCGGCCAGGCTCTCTCAAGGCACCACAAAAATTCAAAGCCCACAGGAGGGTGAGCTGGAGGGAGAATCCGAAATTCTGCTTTACAGGTACCTTTAGGGCAATGGGTATGGTCACCTCATCAAGCGGCCAGTCTCTGACACTAGGCACAAACTTACATCTGGGCAGAGAAACATCTTTATCTTTACTTCTCCTCCATACAGGATGAGTGACACTAAAGGTGTCACTACAGCCTACGTGTGTCCTAGAATTTCTCTCTCCAAGCAGTTGGGTCTAGGGTTACCTACGTTCCTTCCCTCCTGCTACTTGTCTCTGAAAGTACATCAAATAAGCCATAAGCCTTCCAAAGAGAGAAAGTCTCAGACACTATAAATCCTTGGGAGGATTTTTAAAAATCGTATTAAGCTACCAGAAAAAGGTGTGGCATAGCAATAAAGGCAGGTTCTGCCCTTCACATTCCTCAGTTCCACCACATGGCAAGGATGAGGACGGCACAGGTGTCCAGGACTCTGCAGCAGAGCCTCAGCCAACAGTCACAGCAG